CCTGGAAGTGAAAAGCTGACTCTGACAGGTCCTGTGGTGCACAGTGCAGGGCTTCCCACTGTAGGTCCTGAGGTCATGGGTTCAGGTCCTGGTCTCTCCTTGTTTTGTGAGGAGGCGCCGTCCTCCTTCAATGGAGGGGGCTGGCCACTGCGCCTCAAGGGGTCCACAGCAGCACATGCAATCAGCCCTCCCTGGTATTCCAGTGAGATGGTTGCCACCCTGGGTTATAAAGGTTGTGGGTTCAAGCCCCAGCCAGTTTGGAGCTTTCATGTTCTTCAGTGAGTTCCCTGGTGCCTGTGACAAAGTGCACAAACCCCCTATCACGCTTCCCTCTTCCTTATTATTTCCCTCCCCACCCAAATAGCAGAAGTAACCATTATTCCTAGTGACAAATGTTCCTACTGGGAGACATTTTTCATGTGAATGGTAGAGAAGAATTAAAATGGCCTCTCCGCGGCTTCTTGATGGTCACATTACTGGAGTCAAGAAAGGACCTTGCTCCATCCTTGGAATCAGCTCTTCCCTCCTCGTGTTAACAAGCTCATGAGAAATGGCACGGCACACTGATGATCGCACGCCTATAGTGACACCACTGTGCCTGGTCACCAGCTGAGACTGAGGGATGGCACGTCAGGGTCATGGCAGGAGCAGGGAGCACTGAGGCCCAGCCTACGGGGGGGGTCACAGAGGGTTCAAGTCCCCCCTAAATGGGGGAAAGGTCACAGCCCCATTCTCAGGGCAAGCAGGGTCACAGAGAGATCAACATGGGGTTACTACAGGTCACATTGGGGGTTACTACAGGTCAAATCCCCCCTAACTAGGTGAAAGGTCATCAACTTATTTTCTGGGCAAGCTTGGGGTCACAGAGAGTTCAACTTAGGGTCACGAGAGGTCAAATCCCCTCAGTAATTAGGTGAAAGGTCCCCAACTTATTTTTTGGCAAACCAAGGGGTCTCAGAGAGTTCAACTTGGGGTCACGAGAGGTCAAATCCCCTCAGTAATTAGGTGAAAGGTCCCCAACTTATTTTTTGGCAAACCAAGGGGTCTCAGAGAGTTCAACTTGGGGTCACGAGAGGTCAAATCCCCTCAGTAATTAGGTGAAAGGTCCCCAACTTATTTTTTGGCAAACCAAGGGGTCTCAGAGAGTTCAACTTGGGGTCACGAGAGGTCAAATCCCCTCAGTAATTAGGTGAAAGGTCCCCAACTTATTTTTTGGCAAACCAAGGGGTCTCAGAGAGTTCAACTTGGGGTCACGAGAGGTCAAATCCCCTCAGTAATTAGGTGAAAGGTCCCCAACTTATTTTTTGGCAAACCAAGGGGTCTCAGAGAGTTCAACTTGGGGTCACGAGAGGTCAAATCCCCTCAGTAATTAGGTGAAAGGTCCCCAACTTATTTTTTGGCAAACCAAGGGGTCTCAGAGAGTTCAACTTGGGGTCACGAGAGGTCAAATCCCCTCAGTAATTAGGTGAAAGGTCCCCAACTTATTTTTTGGCAAACCAAGGGGTCTCAGAGAGTTCAACTTGGGGTCACGAGAGGTCAAATCCCCTCAGTAATTAGGTGAAAGGTCCCCAACTTATTTTTTGGCAAACCAAGGGGTCTCAGAGAGTTCAACTTGGGGTCACGAGAGGTCAAATCCCCTCAGTAATTAGGTGAAAGGTCCCCAACTTATTTTTTGGCAAACCAAGGGGTCTCAGAGAGTTCAACTTGGGGTCACGAGAGGTCAAATCCCCTCAGTAATTAGGTGAAAGGTCCCCAACTTATTTTTTGGCAAACCAAGGGGTCTCAGAGAGTTCAACTTGGGGTCACGAGAGGTCAAATCCCCTCAGTAATTAGGTGAAAGGTCCCCAACTTATTTTTTGGCAAACCAAGGGGTCTCAGAGAGTTCAACTTGGGGTCACGAGAGGTCAAATCCCCTCAGTAATTAGGTGAAAGGTCCCCAACTTATTTTTTGGCAAACCAAGGGGTCTCAGAGAGTTCAACTTGGGGTCACGAGAGGTCAAATCCCCTCAGTAATTAGGTGAAAGGTCCCCAACTTATTTTTTGGCAAACCAAGGGGTCTCAGAGAGTTCAACTTGGGGTCACGAGAGGTCAAATCCCCTCAGTAATTAGGTGAAAGGTCCCCAACTTATTTTTTGGCAAACCAAGGGGTCTCAGAGAGTTCAACTTGGGGTCACGAGAGGTCAAATCCCCTCAGTAATTAGGTGAAAGGTCCCCAACTTATTTTTTGGCAAACCAAGGGGTCTCAGAGAGTTCAACTTGGGGTCACGAGAGGTCAAATCCCCTCAGTAATTAGGTGAAAGGTCCCCAACTTATTTTTTGGCAAACCAAGGGGTCTCAGAGAGTTCAACTTGGGGTCACGAGAGGTCAAATCCCCTCAGTAATTAGGTGAAAGGTCCCCAACTTATTTTTTGGCAAACCAAGGGGTCTCAGAGAGTTCAACTTGGGGTCACGAGAGGTCAAATCCCCTCAGTAATTAGGTGAAAGGTCCCCAACTTATTTTTTGGCAAACCAAGGGGTCTCAGAGAGTTCAACTTGGGGTCACGAGAGGTCAAATCCCCTCAGTAATTAGGTGAAAGGTCCCCAACTTATTTTTTGGCAAACCAAGGGGTCTCAGAGAGTTCAACTTGGGGTCACGAGAGGTCAAATCCCCTCAGTAATTAGGTGAAAGGTCCCCAACTTATTTTTTGGCAAACCAAGGGGTCTCAGAGAGTTCAACTTGGGGTCACGAGAGGTCAAATCCCCTCAGTAATTAGGTGAAAGGTCCCCAACTTATTTTTTGGC